GAAGCCTGGCCATTGCTCTCCCGACTGGGTAACCGTGTCGATGGTAAATTGACCACGTTTCTAAGGTGGTGCGCATTGAGTTAAACCTGACTTGTAAAAAATTGCTCAATCTCGTACCGTGTTATCCTCGTTTATCGCGTCAATTAAACCCGTGACAAGCTCAACAACAGCTTCGACGATCTCAATCGCTTCTTCAACTTGCCGTGTTTCCAAATTTTCTCCGAGGTTCCGTTTTATGCTATCGTCGTTGGCGCGGACAACTTGAATGGGGGAGTTGTCGCTTCGCCGTAACATATCGCCGGTTTGAATATCACGTCCACTAACCACGCCAGCAGGAGCGTGCTCAGCACGCCTTATCGCCAGCGGGGCAGCGGTGGCGACGGCGAAAAGGCCAAGAAATATGAGGGAGAATTTCATGGTGAGGATAGATTGACGTGTGGGTGGAGAAGAAAGCGAATCGTCACAGACGAATTAGCGCGTAGACCTGGACCTGCTCAGCTGGTGGGGAATTACAGGTGAGCTCAACCTGCATTTTATAGGATATCGGTGTATCCGCCGAGCGCGGATACAACAGGCAGATCACCACATAACGGGCCCTTTGCGAAAGGCTTGGCAGAGATGTTTGATTTAAACCAGGGGCACAGCCGTAAGAGGTGTCGGCACGGGTATATCTGACCGCCACTTTTAGAAGTTAAAAATAAACGTCGTTTTACTCACGTTTGCATCACTTTTGAGATTCCGCCGAAAACCTTAATCCCAAAAAGGATCAACATCACATGACCGGCGAAAAGCTTGAGAGACTCCGAAGAGACGCGTCGAACGCGTCCACCTCAGCGCAACCCCATCCATCCCGCCCATCCTCATCCTCAGCAATACCTTATGTATTCTATCTTTTTCTTCCCTTTATTTGTATATTCCTCTTAATCATGTCGCACCTCTCTTTCAAACTTGCGCCTCCCCCATTTGAGTCACCATCTTTTGAATCTCTCTTCCCACCAGCCATTGGCCACGCTTTGTTAATTTCACGGTTGGAGCCACATAACGCCCATTCTGTTCCACCATCAACTGCTCAGGACAGGTCTCCGCAAAACATCGATGCTCTGAAACCCCGCACAACTGTCATCCGAGGGATTCCAACAGACTGCTCGCCCTTACAAACGCTCGCGCCTGCACCTCTGCTGTCACCTGGCGCAAATGCCTTCACCGATAATCTGTCTAATAGGCTGGCTTGTGCTCCTTCTTCTCGGTTCTCTACCCTGGATTCTAATAGCGGATTCCTGAACTTTCGAGTGCACGCGCCGCCCCCTTCCTCGATACCAGCCTTAGGATGTCTTGAATATGACTTGGCTCGAGAGAAGTTCACCAATAGATGGGAAACCTGGGAAGAGTTCGGTTCTTGGCTGAAGCGTGAGCAAGCGGAGAAAACAGTCGAGTTGCGACTTTCAAAGACTGTTCACGGTGATGGCAATACCTTCAAGGCGACATTCTATTACTTGTGCTCACGACATGGAACCGGCGGTGTCAAGACCTATCGAAAAAAGCATCCTGAATGGCATCGAAAGGTCCCAAACAAACGTATGGACTGCCCTGGCTCCCTTCGTGTCAAAACATACCCTGGATCTTCAACTGTTCTTGGGTTCTATGATGCAGTACACAACCACGACACTGGAAACGCTAATCTGCCATATGTGCGCATTTCAACAGAGACTCGAGAGTTTATTGCAGGCCTTCTTCGCTTGGGTGTTGAACCGCCCCACATTGTAAGGGAATTTGGGCTTTAATCAAATTGACAGTTGCGTTCTAACTTCTCATCATGTTTAGCTCACGTTGGTTCATCAAGGTGTTTATCAGCAGGACGACAATGAGACAGATCAAAATCTTCGTCGTGATTTTTTTATTACAATGTCAGATATATACCGCTTAAAAAAGGATATTGACGCAGAAACAACGAGACTCCATTCTGACGACGGACAATCAACGTTAGCATGGGTAGAGCGACTGCGAGATCAAGGCGCACTGCTTGGCTTCAAAGGAACATCAGACCCACCTCCGTTAGGGTCTAATCTCGAGGCGGATACCTTTTCCCTGATGATTCAGACTCGATGGCAAGAGAAGATGTATCAAAAGTTCGGCAATCACCTTGTAGGGGTCGACGCGACTCACAATACAACTGTCTACCGCAATCTCAATCTTACAACAATTATGGTACGCGACTACTGGGGCCACGGGATCCCTGTCGCTTGGATGCTGGCTTCAAAGGGAACTGAAGAAACAATCACCTATTTCATCAAACTCATTTTCATGCGAAACCCCTCCGTGAACCCTCGGAACGTGATGTCTGACCGAGACCACGCTCAGATCAATTCATGTGTAAAGGTCTGGGTTGCTGCGGTGATATTTCTCTGTTGGTGGCATGTTCTCCATGCCTGGCAGCAACATCTACGGATCGGTGATCACCCTGAGCTCTGGAAGCTTCTGAAGGCCTGGGTACGTGTCTCGAGCTCAACAGAGTTTGACGAAATGTGGCGCAAGATCAAGGAGCTGTCCCCCAAGCCGTTTGTAAAGTACCTCGAGACTACCTGGCTTCCGGAACGCTACAAAAAAATGTGGTCGAACGTCTATCGGAAAGGCCGAAATATTCACGAAGACATCGATACCAACATGCTCCTTGAGGCATGGCATCATGTCTTGAAGGGTAAATTTCTTCATGGCAAGCGAAATCACCGAATGGACCACCTTCTTCACTGTCTTGTCAATGAAGTACTTCCTCATTATAGATTGAAGCAGTCGCGTCAAGAGATCGGTTTCCAGGGTGCAAATCTTGAGGTGTCGGCACGAAAGGAGGTGGCCAAACTTGCCACCGAACAATATGCGCACATTTCTATTACGGTACGCATTACTAGATCAGTCTCAATTCATGCTAGCTCACAAAAAAAACGTCAGAAAATTGACGATAGTCATTTTATTGCCCCATCACACACTAATCCGGATAAGAACTATGAAATTGACCTCGATTTGTATCTTTGTAGCTGTCCTGTATTCCCCCGCATACGCTTTTGCAAGCACATGTGTGCCGTCCAGATTTTCTTTAGTATTCCTAGCGCGGACGCGCCGCTCTTCGATTCGACAGCCTCCCCACTCGAAAACCTCCCACCATCCCCTTCTACTCCTTCACGGCCTGTCGAGGGATCAAGCCCGAAGATTGGTCCTGGAAGTCATAATGACACAATTCAGAAACTTGAAAGAGTAGCCGCAAGGCTTAGAGAAATTGACGAACCACGTTTTTCTCTCGCAAACCTCAACACCGCCCTCGACGAATGCTTAAACATTTCGGGACCGCTCTCTAAGGCTGGTGTGCTTCCGGCCTCTCAACAAGTGGCACCAAATGTACGCACCTGGAACGAGACCAAGAAAGTCATGCCAGCAATCAAGACTGGACGGAAACGACTGGGGGACCAGGCGTATGGAGCGAGGGTAGCGAGCGGGAAGAAAGCGAAGGAATGCGGATCTGGCTCGCGAACTTCAACTTCGACCACGCCCGTAACTAGCCACACGGCGCATCCAACTCTCCTTCCAGCACCAACCGCTCTTCTGCAGCCACCGATGCCAGTTCCTCTACACCCAGCGCCGATGTGGGTTCCATCTGGTTACCCAGTTCCTGGAATTTACAATAGGTATCAGTACATATCGTCAAGCCCTATCGCCATGGGAAACCAGTATTTCCACTCCCCACATACCTATCCTCCAAGTGCTTGAGCCGTTTTGTGGCGATTTCTTCGTATATTGATTTGTATGAAAATTTACCATCGTTGAAATTACGTGTACGCAAGTAAGAATGATTTGGAAGTGGCATTGGAGTGGTGAGAAGGCAGGAGACGAAAGTTCACGACCTTAAGAAAATTTCGACGAACACTCGGTTATGTTGGTCGCCGGACTCACGTGATGTTTTACCATTTTAAGAATTAAGGTTTTCGGCAGAAAGTGAACAACTCGTTTGCATTGCGAAGAAGGTAATGAGACTGGCTTGAGACCGGCAAAGTGCTTAACTTTGGGCGTATGCGTATGTTGGCAGAAGATTCTTATCAACGCGTCGTCCCGCTATACGAGGGCATCGTGTAGATTCCAAGGTATTCAACCTGGCACTTGATTTACGGAATCAATCAGCACGAAAAGAACCGCTGTTCCCAACACAGACAAAAAAAGGAACCTAGGGAGTGGAAAATCACACGAGAGACACATTTAGAGGGGTTTGAGGGGAATAGATGATTGATGCCACTCGTGGGAGGCTCGACGTGCCGCGTAACATAATCAAGAGCTGTGGCAGTGATCACTGATATCATTAGTGGTCTTTCTAATCTGGTATATTATTGAGCTGACAACCGTTGCTTGCTGTGAACTCGGTCGACGATAACACAGGAGGTTTGAGCAGATCCAGTGTAGAATAATTGGACATTCCAGCACTTCTGCAGGAGACACAATAACTCTTCGGATAATAGTGAATACAATAAATCACTTACCATACTGATGCTAGCTTATATTATCTAGTTGCCTGAGGCGTATTGGAAATGTCAGCCCGCCAATACCATAATCAATGGTAAAAAACAAGTACCTAATCAGGTTTGAGTGGGTTACTTGATCCGTATCACATCTGTGTCCTCCCCCTTAAACGCCTGAAGACGGTGACGACTCACTTCGTGAAGTAGCTCATCAGAAGGTGATGGCGTTCTTGCAGGCGTCGTTGAGCATTCTTCGCTACTAATGCTACAG